TACTACTACATTCTATGATTCTGTGTGGCTCAGTTTTACTACATTCCAATTATGAGTAGACTGAGGGATAGAGAGGTGTTGGTTGAAGTGGACACCAAATACTGTTGAGAAAGATAATACTGTAGGCCATTGAAAGCATGGCACTATAACATTCTCTCCTCACATTAGTATGGATACCAAATTTTACTATTACCAATTATGTATGTTTTCTGTAACATCTTATAACTATAAAAAGGAAAAAACGTCATTTTCTTTGTTTAGTATTTGAGGACATACAGATGAAACTGACAAAATGAGTAAGCAATATAAAAGGTGCACCTAATTGCATCCTTATCAAATTTAGAGAGAGAAAGAGAAAGAGCTTACTGTGTACTGTGGCCATTACAATCTGAGGTACAACAGCAAAATTAGCATGATTGTTTTTTCTTCTTGATAATTTTACAAATAGATTCATTTTCATTATGTATCTTATCAATTTCAACATATAATTTTCTTTTCTTATCAAACCAAAGGCTTTCATCCTTTCATTTAAATTATACATGTCAACCCTTCCTTTTGGTATGTATTATTACCATAACTAATATGGTAATGATCATGGGACAAAGTCATTATTACTAAGTTAAATAATGGCTACTTGAATACAAGCAATGCAATGCCACTATACCTAATCTGATTAACTAAACAGCATAGGAAGTAAAGGGCAGAAAGCCCCTACCACAGCCCATTAAATCTTTTCCATTCCCAACCCTTTTCTGCCCAGGAACTGTTTTTGTAATTTTGAGTATGTAGATATATAACACAGGTAAACAAATTGAATGTCTCAAAGAAATAATAAAGAAATTCATCATAAAACAATCCCTTGATTTGGGAGTGGTGGGGGCATACAAGTGATTGTAAGACTTTGGGAGGTGAGGGCAGGAGGATCAATAGTTTAATGACATTCTCCTTTTGTGGCAAGATCCAGATGAGGCTGAGCTATGTGAAACATTGTCTGAAGAAAACCAAACAAAACAGTCAGTTCTTTGTAATACATACTACTAAAGCAAATGTGTGTACTAATGAGAAAGATGTGGTTTTTATTTTTGCATACATAATTAAATCTTCCCTGCAGATCATATAGCATTTTCAGTATTTTCCACAATTACTAATAAGTTGACTTTATAAACAACATTTCACATAAATACACAGTACAAAATGGAATAAATGTATTCAGGGTTATTTCAAAATTGTTGGAAATTCTGTGCCATCCCAAGGCAAATCCATTTAATATTTTTGAAATAAAACTTAGATCAGCAGTTCAAACAGAAATTTAAAAAAATTAAATATTCAACACATTACAGTCCAAAGATACATAAATTTAGTACTAAATGCTAAGGAATAAACATAGCTAGTGTTGGTTTCCCATAGTTAAACCATTATTTCTTTATAACAGCTGCAAGCTTTTATGCATTTTTAAGAACACTGCAGTTCATTGCATACGTTTCGTGAAAATTAAAACCAAGTGGTTCAATTGCCTTATTACTTTAAAATAGGTGACACAAGGCACAAATCTGAACCCAGGTATTTTAGATGTTCGCCCGCACTGCATAGTGAATGCATGCACATTACAGTGTATGCATGCTGATACTTCAAATCAAAACCTCAGTGGAATATGGGCTGGTGTAACAAAAACACCTTGCCTTAATTAACATGTGTGGTTTTGAATTAATTTTTGTGGCATGCTCAGAAAACTTTCTGTGTTGCCAAAAATTTCATAGGATTGACATTCAGTTACATGACCTCAGATGGGGTTACAAACTTCAGATTAGGATGCTGGTGCCCACAGAACATAGATAAAATGAACAAAGGGATAATTCAGGTGCCACTCAGAATGCAGAGGACCAACCATGGAATTTCATCCCACTAAGTATAATAGCACAGAATTTAAAACATATAAATTCACTCTGGGTTTTGTACTTCACTGTTTGGGTCTATAATTGACCATCAATAGCCAATACTATGGAAGTAAAGACAGAAAACAGAATTGTATACTCACAACTTTAAGCAAGTAAGTTAAGGGAGAAGAAGAAGGACGTTTATAGAGAACTTGAAAATGATAAGGACATCCTTGGAATAGACAAGAGATTTGGATGTTTCGTGAAAAAAAAATCTGTGTAGGCATGGTGCTAACTTCTACTCTCCAGTGAAGATCCAGTCTTCCTGGACTCTTCTAGCAAGAAGATTAGGACAAAAAAATTTGGGAGGCTCTGCCTTTAAATAATTAAAGATTTCAAAAACTCAGATGCACTTACTCAAAACACTTTTATGTCACAGTGGATAAATCTGGATCACTTCCTGGCCTGATAGCACTATCCATATACATATGTTTATTTTCCCATAAAAACAAAACAAAACAAAAAAATCAAGCACTTAAAAACTCATACCTGCTAATATGTAGCTTTTGCTTTTGTTGTTGGCCAAGTATCTCTTTCACCTTTAAATCAGATGTCTAAACAAAACAGAAAACCTTCGGTGAAAATGAAAACCAAGTGGGTCAATCACTTTATTACTTTATAATAGGTGGCACAAGGCACTGACTAGTCTTCTTAATAAGCAGCACATGGCTTCTAATCAGTGTGTGAATCTTAAACTGTGCTTTACATTTCTCAAAGTGTTCTGGAACATATGCTTATTTTATGCTATTAGATAAGGTTGTAAGTAAAGATTATTACCATTATTATTTTATTTATTTACATTCCAGTTGTTGCCTTCACTCCCGGTCCCCTCTCCTACAGTTCCTTATTCCATTCCTCCTCCCCCTTGCCTCAGAGAGGGGGTCTCTGTCCCACACTTCCCCCTTTCCTGGGGCCTCAGGTCTCTGGAGGATTAAGCTCATCTCCCACTGAGGCCAGCCAAGGCAGACCTCTGCTATATATGCGCCAGGGACCTCTGACTGGCTGGTGTATGCTCCTGGTTGGTGGTTCAGTCTCTGGGAACTCCTTGGGGTCTGGGTTAGTTGAAACTGCTGTTTTTCCTATGGGGTCATCCTCTCTTCAGCTTCCTCAGTCCTTCCTCAAATTCAACCATAGTTGTCCCCAACTTCAGTCCAATGGTTGGGTGTAAGTATCTATGTCTGTCTCAGTTAGCTGCTGGTAGGGCCTCTAAGAAGATAACCTGTCTGTAAGCACATCATAAGATCAATAACAGTGTCAGGCCTTGGTGCTCCTTCATGAGATGTATCCCAAGTTGGGCCAGTCAATTGGACCTCCTTTCCTTCAGTCCCTTATTGATTTTTGTCCCTGCAGTTCTTTTAGACAGGAACAAGTCTGGGTCAGAAATATTGACTGTGGGTTAGTAACCCAGTCCCACTACTTGAGGTCCTGTCTTTCTACTGGAGGTAGGCTTTTTGAGTTCCTCCTCCTCACTTTTGGGGATTTTTGCCTAAGGTCACCCCATTGAGTCCTGAGAGTCTCTTACCTCCTGGGTTTCTGGCACTTTCTAGAGGGTCTCCCTACCCTTGGCTATTTGTTTCCATTCATTCTCCTGGCCCTCTGGGCTTCTCTACTGCTCAATCCCCCAATACCTAATCTTGTTCCCTTTTCCCCTTCCCTCTCCCCTCTCTCATCCAGGTTCCTCCCTCCCTCTGCCTCCCATGATTATTTTCTTCCCTCTTCTAAGTGGGATTGAAGCATCCTCATTTGAGCTTTTCTGCTTCTTAAACTTTTTAAGTTCTGTGGGTTGTATTCTAGGTATTCTGTACTTTTTTGGCTAATAGCCATTTATCATTGAGTACATACCATGCATGTCCTTTTGGGTCTGGGTTACTTCAATGCTTAGGATGACATTTTCTAGTTCCATCCATTTGTATGCGAAATTCATGATGTCTTCATTTTTAATAGCTGAATAGTATTCCAATGAGTAAATGAACCACATTTTCTGTATCCATTCTTCTGTTGAGGGACATCTGGGTTGTTTCCAGCTTCTGGTAATTACAAATAAGACTTGTATGAACATAGTGGAGCACACATCCTTGTGGTGTGGCAGGGCATCTTTTCTGTATATGTCCAAGAGTGGTATAGCTATGTCTTCAGGTAGAACTATTTTCTATTTTCTGAGGAACTGCCAGATTAGACACAGTTAACCTATGCTGGCTCCAAACTCATTATGCAGCTAAGGATGACATTCTGATTCCTCTGCTTCCATCTGCCATTTGTTGATATTATTGGCCTGCATGCACCACACCACCATGTATACTGTTTGGGATTGAAACCAGGCCAGGCAAGCACTCTTATCAACTGAGCTGACACCCAAGTTCCAGTAATAAAGAGCCTAGATTTTTTTTTATTTTTTAAGATTTATTTATTTATTTATTTATTTATTTATTTATTTATTTATTTATTTATTTAAGCGTAGTGTAGGTGTCTTCAGATACACCAAAAGAGGGCATGGGATTTGATTATGGATGTTTGTGTGCCAGTGTGGTTACTTGGGATTGAACTCAGGACCTATAGGAAGAGCAGTCAGTACTCTTAACGGCTGAACCATCTCTCCAGCCCCAGGATTAAAGACTCACTCTTTAAAGAAGGCATTTGGGTGTGTATACTTATTTGACTGAAAGAGGTGCAAGGCGGTTTCTAAGAAATACGAACTTCTTTGGTCTTTGAGGAGAGTACACAATTGTCGATGGTTTTGTTGGGTATGTACTTACTCTCCAGGGCTTTGCAAACAAATTCTAGGTTTTAACAAAATAAAGTTCACTCAAATTGCCACATTTTTCTCTGGCTAGTTTAAATTCCCCGCCGTCCCAAAGACGCACACCGGGGACCTAACTTTCTGGTCAGAACGCGTACAAAACACTTTAACGCTGGTCACACTCTCTGGCACCGTCCGTGACATCACCGGAAATGTCTGCTTGTGACACTCAACGGCCCGCCCTCTCGCGCTGGGCGCCGGAAGCAAAGCAGAGGGGAATGTGCGCCCGCTTCCGGGCCTGGACGCCATTTTCAGCGGTTGAGTTTTGGTAGTGCTGCTAGTCGTCTCGGACAATGAGCTACGACTACCATCAGAGCTGGAGCCGCGACGGGGGCCCACGGGGCTCCGGACAGGGCTCCGGCGGTGGCGGCGGAGGGAGCCGGGGCTCCGGCGGCGGCGGAGGGGGCCGCGGCGGCCGGGGCCGGCATCCCGGACACCTTAAGGGTCGCGAGATCGGCCTGTGGTATGCCAAGAAGCAGACGCAGAAGAACAAGGAGGCTGAGAGGCAGGAGGTATGGAGGTCAAGTCAGGACGAGTTTGCTTTGTGCTCTCGCCGACCCTGACTCTTTGCTGGCGTTTGCTCGAACTAGATGCAACCTCTGCCGAGCTCCCTGTAACGGGTGACCGGTCGCCTGATTGGTTGCGCCTCCGACCCAAGCCATCACTGCTGCAGCTGATGCATGCTCTGTTTAAAGACATGAGAACTGAACTGAGGGTCAATGCTAAATTCAGATTCCAGCCGAAGCAGACTTTATAGGGGACCATGTCATCATTTAGAACAGTTACTGTCTGTCACTTTTAAGCCCTTTCCCTGGAGCAGCCAACAAAAGCAGTAAAACACTGCCTTAATTGTCGATCTTTGAGAAAAAGTAGTTTAGCTAATAGTATTAGCATTAAAGTGAATCACATGCTCATCTCTTCCTTTCTGTTCTCAATTTTCTATTACTAACAGCCCCTCTCTAAGACTTAACATCCTTGAAGAAGCTGTAGCGAAATGTTTGGCTAATTGTCAGTTTGAAGATCTGTAGTATAGGAAGCATCATGTTTTTGTTGTCCGTTTTGCTTTGTTTTCCCTGAGACGGTTTCACTGTGTAGCCTTGGCTGTACTGGAACTTACTCTGTAAGCCAGGTTGGCCTTGAACACACAGAGCTCCACCTAACTTTGCCACCCAAGTGCACCACCAACCCAGCAAGCCTAATGGTTTTTGAATGGCCTGTTCTAAATAAATCCAGCATTTCACAGAATCTTTAAAATCTTTTTTGACCCTGTTTCATATGTGGTTTCTGAATGCTAAAAACCTTTGCATTCGAATAGGGGGAAAGAAATGCTTAAACAAGTAAGTTAAATAAGTGGAAGTTATCTTTCCAGGTAGACGCAGTGCACATTTAACTTGTGCATTGGATATTGATTCTACATAGTTCAGGCTAACTTTGTACTCCTAGTCTTCTTTCCATCCCAAGTGATGAAATTTCATATGTGCACACCTCGGGGCTAGGCCTCTATTAGTTGACCTCTTAGTCCCAACCCCATCCCCCAAATTCCGTTTTAGCAAATGTCAGTGTTGCCATGTGGAAGTGATCTCTTTCATTTTGGTAAATCTGTTTGCTCTGCTCTGCTTTCTTGCTTATCTCTGCAGCAATTATGGGTCAGACCTCTAAACTGTTCTTTGAATTATAGACACCCACCCCTGCCCCATGGTGGTCTCTTAAAAGGTGGCCTCTTCAATGATCTTTAGATCATTTTATTCTTTACTTCCTAGCTTGTTCATTGAAGCCATGCAGCTTCTGCCTCTCCTTAAGTGTTTTCTGGGAATCATGTGATCTGGCTGTAACATAACAGGCTTTCCTCCTTGGGCTGATTTTTCTGAGCTCAAGTTCTGAGACTGATAATCATAGTCTGATGAACATTTACTATCTCTGCTCTTTATTAAGTTTTATACCATTTTCCTCTATAAAATGAATCTTTGAATTATCTTTAAACATGTTTTTTCATTTGGTGTAACTCTTTTCAGCACTTTTAGCGTGATAGAATTTTATCCTAGAATTTCCATAGCTTTTACATTAAAACAAGCCTCATGCTTACAAAATGAAAGTACTCCAGTGAATCCTTATACTTCTTTCCATGTAATATGTATGGGACACTTAGGTTTTGAAATACTGTTATAGTACTTCATTTATACAGATAATGTGGTGTGCTAAGGGCCATAGACGGAATGCTATGCTACTAAATAGAGAACATGGGCTGTCTGTTCAAACGAAAATATCTTAAAAGATATACAGAGTTTGACATTATTGGGCATACAAAACAAGTGAGGATTTCTGGATGGTTCTGATAAACTAGAACAGCGCTTCCCACCCTTTCTAATGCTGTGACCTTTAAATACAGTTCCTCATGTTTTGGTGACACCCCTCCCACCTTAAAGTTATTTTTTGCTGTTTTGTAACTGTTTTTTGCTCTTGTTATGAAGTTATCTGTGTTTTCCAATGGGCTTACGTGACCTCCTTGAAAGGATCTTTTGACCTTAAGTAGTCCTTGAGAACCGCTGACCTAGAGACATCTTCACTAGAGTTAGCATTTGGCAATACAAGGGCCCATGGATACTATTGAAATGAGGGTACATAATGAAAAGAATGGCCTAGTTCTGAAGTAAACGGATCTTGTTTCTCAAACTTGAATATGCGGAGGATTCATCTGGCACCTCTTTAAAGTGTATGATTGGGACAGGGCCAGAGAGTCTACGTTGCTAACAAAATTCCAAATGAAGCCAGTGCTACTCAGTCTGTAGATCATTCTGACTGTAAAGTGTGCAACACAGATAATTAGAGGAAGAGAGGACTGGGAGAGGTGGGGAGACGGGTATGTAAATTGATAGTGGCAGGCAGTTTGGATGTCATCAAGACTTTAATGAATCTGGAGATGGGTGAGTTAAACATTACAGTAGAGTATCCAGATATGGAAGTATGTGGAAATGGAACACTTGCTTGTAAGTTTGCTGGTAACACCAAAAAACTAGAACATAGCATTAGTGCTGGGGAAATTGAAGGGATGCTTTTACTTTGTATTCTTGGTGAAGAGGTTGAACATTAATGACTGCTGATTTTCTGTTTGGGGCCTTGAGTGCCAGATCTTGTGAGACATTCTACCGTTATTTGATGGGAATGGCTTCTCTACAAAATCTGTAGAGATCCAGATTCAGATTTCTGTTAATGAGTAGTATAATTAAGAAATTTCATCATTATTTTAATTGACTTAAAAAGGTCCTCTTTTGACCTTAACTAGCACATGGACATAAAAGCACAGTCCATATACCATCTACGTAAAATCCCACTTAAATAATCCTTAGTTCCTAAGGTTTTATTCCTTTATTCTCTTTTTAAACTATTTTATCTTTCATTTAATATGTTGACGTTTTTCCTCCTTAAGTTCTTTAATTTAATGCACTTACATTTTGGCCACTCTTGATTTCCCCATTGCCTGTGAATTCATGTCACATTATTAACTATGGATTATGAGGAAGTTGAGGTTTGTAGGACCATAATTTTGGAAGAATCTTTTGTTAAACTTCCTATATAAAGTGAAAATTTCCAAAGAATTACATTTATCATTTGTTCTTATTTGCATTAACATGTATTTCATTTCATTGTTGCATGTCTAGGGTTTCTGTAGCCTCTAAAGACTTTGTCTTTGCTAGTTCTGATATTATCTTTATTTTTATCACCTGAAGTACTACTCATTAGCCATCTCCGTGAGTACCCAACAGCTCCCTATGAAATCAGCTTTCAAAATTTATTAAACAGAATGTAACAATTCTCAAGTAGTCTTTTACCATCAAAAATATTATTTCTAATTTTCAGCTTTTATATGTCACACGTTTTATTTTTGTTGATTTTTAAAGAAACTTTGTTGTCTTTATTCATTGGCTTTACTATTGTTTGAATAAGACTGCATGCTGTTCACGACATAATGGTATTTAAACACATTTCAAGATCTGTGTAGAGTACATGAGTTTTGATTATTGGACACTTGTTAGCATTTGAAGGTGAGAGCTAAGGAAACCAAAGTGCTGAGAAAAAAACAAGAAAGCTCTACTTGCCAGACATCTGTAGAGCAGATTTTGTAGACATGGCAGGCTAAAGGTCTAGCAGGACACACAAATGTTGCCATGAATTTCACCTAGGAAGGGAGATTACACTAGAGGGCAAGCGTGTGTAAGTGTAACTTACTTGTACCTATGTTGAATGTATAATACTTTGCCTTTAGTTTTTCATCTTAAATATAAAGTAATTTTATGTATGTTTGTATTAACAGATACACTTTCTTTTTTACAAAATAGAGAGCCGTGGTACACATGGATGAACGGCGAGAAGAGCAAATTGTGCAGCTGCTAAATTCAGTCCAATCTAAGAGTGACAAAGATGCAGAAGCACAGATATCCTGGTTTGCTCCTGAGGATCATGGGTAAATAAAAACTATTCTCACAAAGAGTAGCAAAGATTAAAAAAAAAAAAAATTTGTGACATTGCCTCAACAAATGAACAAAACAAAATAACAATAAAAAACAAAAATACTATCCTAAGTCTCTTCACTAAGTTGAATTTAGTCTTCTGAAATCCTTTTAAGTGTTGAACAAATACATTTGAAAAACAATTTTTTTTTTCCTTTGAGAAAGGATTTCTCTGTGTAGTCTTCGTTGTCCTAGAACTAACTCTGCTGTAGACCAGGGTGGTCTTAAACTCAGAGATTGTTTGTCTCTTTCTCCCAAGTACTCTGGTTAAGGATGTATACCATCCCACCCTGCTCTAAGAAAGAAAACTTTTCTATAGCATATTCTCTAAATGTCAGAAGTGGGCACTCTGTGTAAGATATTGGTACTTGTACTTTTAATCTGTCGTCTTTCCAAAATTCTTTGGAGGGCAAGTCTCCATAAAGGTAAATTGCTGCTGTTTCAAAAGGTTGCAAAAACCATATTATTCATAGAAAAATTAGAAGTGTTTTGGGATCTACATAATATAGCTTACCATTTACAGCTCACTAAAGGACAGCAGACAGAAAAAGAAGTAAAATAAACCAAATCCTTGAAAATCAGGAAAAGCAGAACAGTAGAAATGACTGAAAAAATGAGTGACTATTGTGTAGATTTTAATTTTTTAAAGTCCTCAGGGAATAAATAACCTGATAATATTATTTAAAAGGATAGAAAAGTTTGAGTACACTATATGAATCTAAGTGTATTTCATAACTGCATTGTAGTGCTTTCAGTGTTGGAGATATTGACGTATTTAAAGAAAATGATGGTTTTTTTTTTGTTGTTGTTCCAGGTCCTGAGCAGCTTTTCGTCTGATTTTTTTTCTCTTTATTCTGTGATTATAGGTATGGAACTGAAGTTTCTTCAGAGAAAAAAATAAGCTCAGAGAAGAAAATTGACAACCATGAAAAGAATTGCACCCAAGAAAAAAAGACATTTAGGACCACAGACAAGTCATACATTGACCGAGATTCTGAGTATTTATTGCAAGAAAATGAGCCAAACCTAGGCCTAGATCAACAATTATTGGAAGATTTACAAAAGAAAAAAACTGACCCTCGGTATATAGAGATGCAGGTAATGTGAAGAAGTTTGTGGAAAATCGGTCATTCTTGTCCTTCCTTTGACAGAAGTGGGTTTGTGGTTGAAGGTTAACTGCTCAGTCTAGATGAGTGAGATTCCTCAACAAGACAACTCTGTGCGAAGACTTTCTTTGGTAGTAGAGAAATGTGGACTGGAAAGTCCACACAGCCTATATAGTGTATCTTATTGACAGCAGTATCTTATTGACAGATGCTTATGTGGTGAGAAGAAATGTTTGGGAATGCTAATGCATTGGGAACAGATTTCTAGGCCAGTTGAGTGAGAAATCATGAGTTCAGACAGGTACATTGTTGGAATCATGAAGTTTCTTCCAGCTCAGGCTTTCTCTCTCTTTTTTTTTTTAAGCTTCACTGTCACTTCTTCTTTTTTTTTTTTTAAGATTTTGAGATATATATATATATATATATATATGAAAACAAGTACACCATAGCTGTCTTCAGACACACCAGAAGAGGGCATCAGATCCCGTTACAGATGGTTGTGAGCCAACATGTGGTTGCTGGGAATTGAACTCAGGAAGAACAAGCAGTGCTCTTAACCGCTGAGCCATCTCTCTAGCCCCAAACAATTGGAGCCTAGATTTATCTGATTCTTAAATCTTTTTTTTTTTTTGGTTTTTCGAGACAGGGTTTCTCTGTATAGCCCTGGCTGTCCTGGAACTCACTCTGTAGACCAGGCTGGCCTCAAACTCAGAAATCCACCTGCCTCTGCCTCCCAAGTGCGGGGATTAAAGGCATACGCCACCACCGCCCTCTTTCTCTTAACAGATGATAAAATTAAAAATTTAAAAAGCTTGAAGATTCATTTTGTTTACCAACATTTCAATATACTGCTCCATCAAGGACTGAAGTTTTATGAATTACTTGTTTTGACAGATAAGCTAAAGTCCCCCTCCAGTTAAAATGTAAAATTAGGATTCTGTGTGTTTTAGTTATTAGATGTGATAGAATCTTCAGATGTGCAGAAATACATATTTAGGGGAATATCAGGTTTTCTGGAGTTCCTATCTTGTAAATATGTAGTGCTGTGTTTTGAGCAGGCACACTATCGAATCTTTGAGAAAGGTTTAACCCATTGCTCAGTTTGATCAAGGTTGAATTTTCTCTTACAGATTAGCTGAAATTGTCCAGGGTCCAAATTATATAGCTCTTTGATGAGACTTAATGAGATCAGTTCAGAATCTTTAGGCTGGGAGAAATTTTACGTTATGAACAAACTTTGCTTTGTGTAAGGCACAAAATTCAGATGAGTGGCTGATCTAGCATTAAAAAAAAATCTTTTTTTCCCTGTTACTGATAAGTATTTCATTTCTATTAAAATTTAGTATATTTACAATTCAGTTTTTTTGTTGGTGTGAGTATGGGTATGTGCATATGGAGACCAGAGGTATTTTAGTCCTTAGAAATCACACACCTTGGGTGTTCTGTTTGTTTTTGAGACAGTCTCTGTAGCTCTGCCTGGCCTTGAACTCTTAGAAGTCTGCCTGTTTCTGCCTCTCTAGTGTTAAGATTAAAGACATGTGTCACCATGTCTGGCCCCTCCTTGGCCTTTTTGAGAACTGGTCTCCCACTCTTCTGAAGCTCAGCAAGTAAGCTAACCTTGAAGAATGTACTTCTAGTCCCGTAATGCTAAAGTTGTGGTATTTCATACATGCACTATAAAACAGGAAAATACCCTTGCTCTACTATATTTAGATACGATATATTCTTACTGTAACTTGATGTTTATTCTGAGAATGATTTTTATTTTAATTTCAGCGTTTCAGAAAAAAGCTGCCTTCATATGGAATGCAGAAGGTAAAAAAAAATGCTTTCTACTGTTAAATTTGATTTACACAAAAGTTAACTACATTTAAAAAAAAAAAAACTTCATTGACAAGAAATAAAAGTTGGTGAACTTAAATCCATAGAGAAGTTAACTTAATGCTTTGCTGCTCTTGAAAGGTAAAAAGGAACCAAAAAAAAAAAAATTATGAAGCAGGTTTCAAATTTTTTGTCGAAAGATTATTAAAATCTTTGGAGTTTAAAAAGTAGAATTTCCATATATATTTCTGGAAGATTTTGTTGCTCTTAATGCAAACCAAGCTCATGAGTTAACATTGAGGTCTGGCAAGAATAGTGTTATAATGGATGAGTTGAACTTCATTACACTGCCCTGTAAACAGGAACATTGTTCTTTCTCTGGGCCTTCCAGTCTGATTAATTTTTTTCTTCTTTTTTGCTTTTCATAGCACTTATTACCACTTGACATCTCTGTGTGCTCCCCTCCTACTTCAACATAAGTTCTTGAGATCAGAGTCTGTTTTGTTTATTCTGTACCTCTTAACTTGGAATGCCAGCCATTGCACTGGCATCCAGAAACCACTGAATGAATGAGTTATAGTCTACTTCTGAGCATAGTTCTTTAGTATCTGTGGGGATTTGTTCTGGGCCCTTTGTAGTATAGGGTTGCAGAATAAACCTATATCCCTCAGATGTTCAAGTACTTTATATAAAATGATATTTTCCTATAAGCTACATATGTTCTTCTTTATAATTTAAGTCATCTCTTGATGATTTAATGTCTCTAATAATACATGTAAGTGCTATATAACTACGCACTGTATTGTTAAGGGAATTTTGACACGTTCAGTGTAGGTATAATTGCTTCTTCCAAAGCTAATCCCGAAAATGCAGAAGCCATGGGTTTTTGAGGAACAAATGTTTACCAACTGTGTTTATTTAAACTGGAAACTTGTTCTCATGATATACATTGATAGAATAGATAGTTATAATTTAAATATAAGTTTTATATTAAAATATATAACATTTTGAAGTAAGGTGATGGTTTTGTTTAAGCAGTAAATTGTTAGTATGAAGAATATTAGTGTGTATCTAAAATGTTAAAAAAGTTATTTCCTCTAAGTTTTACCTAGATACCTGATTTACTTTTCTGAATAGAATACTTTTTCAGACTTGAGTCATTATGTGCTGTTTTTCACTCATATTCTCTTTTGAACTAGGAGCTGGTAAATTTAATCAATAACCATCAAGTGACAGTAATAAGTGGTGAAACTGGTTGTGGCAAAACCACTCAGGTTACCCAGTTCATCTTGGATAACTACATCGAAAGAGGAAAAGGGTCTGCCTGCAGAATAGTGTGTACTCAGCCAAGAAGAATTAGTGCCATTTCAGTACGTAAGCTCTCACTTGGGAAAGTTCTTTCTTTTCTGAGTAACTTTGATTGAGCGTAACTGATTTTTAAGGTTTGCAGTGATTCTTTATTAGGCTTAGGATTTGTCCATATGAGAGCAAATACTTAATTGGCAAATATTTGATAATAAATACAAAGAGTAGAGATTTCTCTCACCAATAGTGAATAAGTGCAAACTCAAATTAAAGTAATTCCAGTACAAATCTAAAAAAATGAAAGCCAACAAATGTTTATAGAGTTGGTTTGTAAACAGTCTTCTCCATGAGATGCTTTAACTTCTGCCACTAGGCTTACTCCTTGTTCTTTCCATGGCCTGTGCCTTCAGTGTCTCGAGTACATGGGTACATAAATAGTAGTGAAAGTGGGAAGCCTTATCTTCCATCTGAAGCTGTATTTCTATTCACAGTGAGGTTTTTTTGTCTTTGTTGTTGTTTGAAAGCATTCTTTCTGCATGTATGCCTACATGCTAGGAGAGAGCATCAGATCCCATTACAGATGGTTGTGAGCCACCATGTGGTTGCTGAGAATTGAACTCAGGACCTCTGGAAAGGCAGCCAGTGCTCTTAACCTCTGAGCCATCCCTCCAGCCCAAAATGAGTTTTGAGTAAAGTTCTTCAGAGGAAGCTTAGTCTGAGTGATTTAGGATAGATAATATTAGTTCAAAATTGCAGGAAGTGATACAAGTCAGCAATGATTTTTATTAAATTTCATTTTCCATTTTGTATTTGATAACCATTACTTTTGAGAACAACTGACCAAAGAAAGACTAGGAGTTAAATGTCAGTCTCTACTACAAATAAAAAAGAACAATAAATAGAAGAGTAATTAGATATTATCAATATGTACTTATTTTCAAATTATAGTTTTTGTTTGGACTGTGGTCTCCCAACTATTGTAGACAAGTCAAAAAGAAAATATGTGATGCCATGAGACAGAGCTTCTACTTGAAGGTCTTTATAAAGATGAATGAGAAATAAACAAAAGAAGCTGGTAGTATACGGTGCTCAAAGAGAACACCACGTGGTTTTAGGGATCTCAGACTTTAATAAGTATCTCTTATTTCTAAACTTATCTGAAAGTCAACTACTTTTTAACAACCCCAGATTTTCGTGACAGTTAAGTACATTTGTCTAAAGGAATTTGTTTTTTAATGACAACTGTGTTTTATTTAAAGGTTGCTGAGAGAGTGGCCGCAGAAAGGGCGGAGTCTTGTGGCAATGGTAATAGTACTGGATACCAGATTCGTCTCCAAAGGTAAGCTGTTCACTTCAGGTCATTTACTGTATATGTGTAGATGTTAGGGAAATTTTGAATCAGGAGATTTTTGTCCTCTTTTATGTTGATTCTTATTGTTATTATTGACATATACTTTATGTTTATTTGTATGTGCACATGTGTGTATATACTAAAGATGGGGGCGGGGAGGATGAATAAGAAGACAACTTGCAGGAGTCACTTCTCTTTACCACATGGTTCCTGGGGATTGAACTAGGTTCATAGGCTTGAAGGCAATCAGGCATCTCAGCATGCCCTTCCATAAGCTTTTGAAAGACAAGCCATAGGGTTTATTGAAAAGTAAAGAAATGGTTCCCTACAGGTGGTTGGCTAGAAAATGAGTTCCCCTAGACTTAATGTTTAAAGCAGTTTTAATATTAGTAGGCATGTTACCATAAACTCATCTTTGAACCTAAAGGTACCATTTTTTAAAAATGTGCTTTAACATTAAGGAATGGTTAGAAATAATATTTTAGTATCATTAGTGGATCCATTTAATGGATCATTATTTCTGTCAAATGAACTGCTGTCTTGTATATTTTGATACTACTTAATCTATCCCTTGATAGACTTTATTTATTAGTATTTGCATCATTAACTCTATTATTGATCTTTATTTACTAAACTTCTTTGATCCTTTCTTGGAGTTCAAGTTGCTAGATCCGTTAAAACGAGCAGAATTAGAATTCTATTTACAAAACCAGAAATTTAGGCCTGTAAATTCATTCAGTTAGTGAATGTTAAAGGTTATACATGTAAAAAGAAATAATTTTAGTATCTAAGTGAACTTAAGGCTAGTATTTTCTATTATTTTATTGTGGTAAATGCTTTTATAACTAAAAATTACATATAAAGATTTTTCTCAAACTTCTGTGGAACTCAATACTGTTTTAGAAAAGAAAACCAAGAATCAATAGCTTGTATCTTTTATTTACAGTCGGTTGCCAAGGAAACAAGGTTCTATCTTATACTGCACAACAGGAATCATTCTTCAGTGGCTCCAGTCAGACTCGTGAGTATGTTTCAGTGAAGAAATAAAACAATATTAGCAAAAAACTGAATAGGGTAGCTTATGTTTGTAACCCCAGCACTTGACAGATGAAGGCAGGAGGGTCAGGAACCTGGTCCAGCCCTGTCTACATGAGACTCTTCCTCCCCACCCCCCAAAGTTATATAAACAAGCACTTTATAGATTTCTTAACATGTAATTTTTTTATTTGGTTGGTTGGTTTTGTTTCCTGTTTTGTTTTTTTCGGGGTCAGGTTTCCCTGTGTAGATGACCAGGCTGACATTGAACTCAGAGATCTGCCTGCTCTGCTCCTGAGTGCTGGAACTAAAAACATGTGCAACACTGCCCAGCCAATGATGTAATTATTACACAGGACTGTGCTGTTAAAAATCGTTGTTTTCAATTTTATACTAAATTGTAAATTTCACACTTGTCTTCCAGACGTTTGTCTAGTGTTAGCCATATTGTACTTGATGAAATTCATGAAAGAAATCTACAATCAGATGTTTTAATGACTGTTATTAAAGATCTTCTCCATTTTCGATCTGATCTCAAAGTAATATTGATGAGTGCAACCTTAAATGCTGAGAAATTTTCAGAATATTTTGGTGAGTAAAGTTTGATAATATGCTAGAAGAGGTATCAAAAGACAAATAGTTTTAACTTTAAAACAAAAAAAGTACATAATACTAGGCATAAAAAAATTGAATGTTTACTAATTTATTGTATCTTAACTCTGTATTCTAGTTTCCTAGATGACTGAGCCTGCTTTTTAAATGATAATAGCATCACTTCTCTCCCAATAGCCCATTTCTTGGTGCTATTAGACAAGAAGCTGCCATCATTGAATCAAACCCAGGACTGAAATTTTTCTACCCTTTTTTATGTACACATGAATCTTGTGTACCATTGATGCACTGTTACAGGCTAGGCTGACAGTTTGCTGATGATAGTATCGGTGTCCACTTAGGGAATGCTTTTAGTGTATCAAGTAGTAGTTAGCTGTTCCTCTTTACCATTTCTTTTAACAGCTTACCAGTAGGTACTGGCATAGCTTCAGTTTTGCAAATGAGATTGTAGCCTCTGAACTGTAAATAACTTATCTGAGGTTGTGTAATTAACAGGGATGAACATTACATCATTAACAGAGATGAACATTACATCATCAACAGATTCTGAAACTAGATTGGAGTACTTGAAAAAGTAAATTCTGTAAAATTTTTCCTCAGTGTCTTTCCTCCCTATAATAATAGAAATATTTGGAGGAAAGACAGCAATTGTATTGTGGTATCAGCATATTTAGTTGTACTTTCAGTTTGTAAAAATGCCAATAAAATGCATATCAGTTTATTATTCATAGCATTATGATTCATTCAGGCAGGTATTATGCCTTTCTGATTGTTAGTAAGGTTGATATGAATAACCCAGTTTTATATAAGTGAGATAGAGGACAGTGGGGCAGGTCCTTTGACCTCTGGTACTGCTTAGTATGTGTTTATTGTGTGCTTGATTTGCACGTTGGGAGAGACAAGCCTCATTTCAGTGACAGTACTGAGATAATATGTTAATGAGCCTGAGGTGGAAACAGTTTAGGGTTTGATGAGTTCCTGTTTTAACTTTCTGCCAACCTCCATTCAAGATGCCTCAAAGAATAATGCTCTTTATCTTGTTTGTTGATAAGAGAGGGACTCATCATTTTATAATCTTGAATAATAGAGTTTTAATATACTTAGAGTTCAACATAAAATGACTTTAATATTCAGTGTTATTTTGTATAACTGTGAGCACAGGATACAGTTTGTAGAAGTAAAACATTAACTATTTAAACTCTTTTCTTTTTTTAAGTCAGATAGAAAAGTAGTGTGGAACTGTTTCTTAGGTTAAGAATATTATGCTGGTTTACTCACAGTGTGTGTTGATTTTTAATCTTGAACGTTGACTATAAAGTCACGGGTATGTTTTGTCTGCCATTTTAGGTAACTGTCCAATGATACATATACCCGGGTTTACTTTTCCAGTTGTAGAATATCTTTTGGAAGATATCATTGAAAAAATCAGGTAAATAATCAGCAGCAAAATAAGTTAAAAAGTTCTAATGTATTGTCTTCTCATGACACATTTATTTTTATAACTCTTTATTGATCATACCCTCATAAATTCATTTATCATGGAGTGCTAAACTTTAGGAACATTTCCATAGAGAGTGGAGAGTTTTCAAACCAAAATCATTCTTAAATTTGATTTCTACCATTTTTCCACCAGCACAAATAAGTTTTTTGCCAAATAATTTATGCTCAGTGATAGTCTTTTACCTAGTTTTCTAGATTGTATATTTAAAAGGGTAGTCTTTACCAAGTGGAATGGCCAATGACTTTTTGTGCTTATGTGTGCTTATGCCACGTTGTATAGCTACTTCCTGACACACACAGCTTCTGTGCACTGTGAGGTATATCCTATATGTCTTCTCACTCTTCTGTACCAGTGGTTCTGACTGTCAGCTCTATTAGAATGACTCTTGGTCTGGATAATAGGATACTCTCTACTTTCTCTTCACAAATCTCATCATGGGAACTTCCCTCCCTCAAGTGAGATCTCTGCATATGAAACTTTGCTGAAAAACAGTTTGAGTAGGTTGTATACCAGAGTGCCTTGGCTAATGCACTTTTTATTGCCTCTCAGCTCTGGCTGAGAATCAGCAGCATCCCCTAGCTGCCAGCAGTGTCCTCTAGCTAGCAAGCTGAACAAAGTTTTTTCAGTTCATTAGTGGCAAAAGGCTCTGAAAGCACGGGCTCCCGAATGCTTAGTCATCCCAAAGCCCTAGCCCTTTAGCATCTAACTGTTCATTTCCTTGTGATGTATCCTGTAGTCTATTAAATGTGCTATTCTTAATAGCCAGTTAAGGCTCTTCCTGTTGTTTCTATTTGTGTACATACTTTTCTTTCAGATTTCATGTGAAATCTTCTTTGTGTTTCTTCTTTGTATTTCCTAAGTAAATTCTTTAAATTCCTAAGTAAAAAAAAAATTCTAATTTCCTCCCATCTCCCACTTTTTGTATCCTAACACTTGTTGACACTATCATGATAGTAGTATGTATTTGCCTCTTGCACAAGATTTTTTAAGATTTTATAGTCAAGGATTTTGTCTTACTCATTTTGGTTACTTGTGTGTCAATCACAGTTCCTAGACTATAATGAATGAGTAAGTAAATTATATGTGTAGAAATATTTGTAGAATTTTTGAAGACTTCTTATTATTTAAAATTAAAATTGATATCAGAAAGACTCTACAGTTTATTTTACTTCACATGGTGCTACCTTGTGAGCATTAAAAAGAAGGAAAGACTTGGTATGTGTGCCCTTTAAACTTGTGTCTTGATAAGGGGTAAAGAGCTGTTACATAAAGTTTGGAGAAGTAAGTGAGTAAGAAATGAAATGCCATGTCATGAGGAGATTTGAAAGGAGTGAAACTATGAAAGTTGGCAGCAGAGAAAATAGTATATTTCAGAGAGGAAAGAACTTCTAAAAGAGAGGTAGCACGCAGTGGTCTTGGTTTTATAGTCTGGCCATAAACTTTTTATGTACATAACTCAACTTTGAGCTGTGCTCTGTTTTTATCATGCTATACTTAGCAGTTCCTTTGAAAGAGATTATACACAATAGCTCGGTGCCATTAAATGATGGGGTATCTATTGGCAATTCATAATGATTGCCTTCTTAAACTTGCTGGAAGGCAGGAAAGATCAACGAACTGTGGAAAGGTGTTGGATGCAAAACAAAGTGTCTCTGAAGCAGTCGTCCCCCTTCACTAGTGGGGAGGGTACAGGATGATGATCTTTTGGGTAGAGGTTTTTTTTTTATTGTCAGTCAAAGCTGTCTCCTTCCTTGAGAAGGAAGCACAGCAGGAGGTAGGAGGAAAGAAACACTGGCTAGAAGACTAGGAGAACAGAACATGGAGGGTTGAGACTGACTGAGGAGTAGGTAAAGGTTACCTCTGAGTGTTGAAGTTACTGGGAAGGAACCAGTTTTGTACTTGTACTTCTAATTGGATCTCAGTCAGTCTCAAGGTCTCAAACTGAACCTCAGGTTGGTGTTTTTATTTATATTAAAGACTTAGGGAGACCCTGGCCAATGGTACCAGGTAGGAAAGGTGATTTTTTGTGTTTAATATATACCAGATACTTATCACTTTTTTTTTTTATTAAAGATTCTCATGCTAATAATAGGTTAAGAGTCTGAACTGCACAAGTCTGATTAAAGTCTGGAAGTTTAATGCCTCATATAAGACCACAACTAGTCAGTGCCAGAGCAGAGAGGGGCATTGTTTCCTTCTGATTCCACGCATCCTCCCTATTCCATCTAAATGTTCTCCTTTAAACCCTGTGGGGGTCAAAGTATAGCTTCAGTTTCCTTTGCCTTTCCCCACCCTCTGCCTTTCAAGAGCTCATAGCGCAAGTGAATAATTCTTGGACACCCGTACTTCCTTTGTTTCTAAAGTTTGCTATAGTACTATGGAGTCACTACAGCACTAGACAGAACACGTACAACCTAAATGCTAATTCTGGATCTCCCCTAACCTGTAACCGTGACAGCAGAACTGTGCAGCTTTTAGCATGGAGCTCATCCTCTTGGAGTTATTCATTTAAATCCTTGTAACTCAGGAATTATTTTATGCTCCACAGGGGATTCTTATATATAATTTGGTTTGAAAAATCTTTCAAAGTCATTAAACAGTCATTAAGTCTTATTGGACCTTCTAAGAATTAAAAACTTTATTTTGGAGCAAACTTAAAACTGAAGATAAAAGTCAACTCAGAAATCATTTTTCATTGAAATTATTAAGATGGCATATAATCTTATGCTATTCAGCTAGGAATACTTTTTATCCTAAATGAGCAGTTTTAGGCGTTAACACTTTCAAGTTAATATTTTAGGCAACATTCTCCAGAAATACAGTGAAAATATTCTTTAGAATCTGTTTTAGTTGGTATAAAAATTCAGTCATTCTTAAAAGCCATAATGATTCAAATGTGGGAAAATGTATAATGCTCTTCTTATTTTAGATATGTTCCAGAACAAAAAGAACATAGATCCCAGTTCAAGAGGGGTTTCATGCAGGGTCATGTCAATAGGCAGGAAAAAGAAGAAAAAGAGGCCATCTATAAGGAACGCTGGCCAGCTTATATAAAGGAACTGCGGACAAGGTAAGTGTGAGTAAGGCATGCACACAGTGGCTGAACCAAGGAGGGCTCTTGTGATATTGAGTGTATTTGAAGAGAGAGAATCTCATTCTACCTAAATGCTGCTGAGCTGACTTACCTTCTCTGTATTATCTCAGGAAGTTTAATTTTCTCTATAGACTGTTTGTTCATATGCAGACTTTAAGGTTTATATCTGAGTAACCCATGGAAAACAAGCATTTCATGAATTTCTATGTAATTTTGGTATAGATACTCTGCAAGTACCGTAGATGTTTTGCAAATGATGGATGATGATAAAGTTGATCTGAATTTGATTGCTGCCCTTATTCGATACATTGTTTTGGAAGAAGAGGTTAGTTTTATTTAATTTTTCTTCAAGTAATGTGTTCTTAAATTTTATTATGCATCAAACAAAGCCATGAAAAACTCATTTTCCTAAATGTTTTTTAAAAAGTGAACTAGAAGAAAATCTCAAAATAACATTTAGGCATTTTAGCCTATTTAAAGAAAAGATTAAACAAATATCTCTAGATTGTAGGTCTGTGTTTTTTAAATGGTTGGGTATTCATTTAAATAATAACTAAAATTCAGAGCTACTATAATTTTAATGAGTATTTAAGTGTACATGGAATTGTTACTGTGATTATTGATGTGATTCTCTTAACTGTAATTTCCTATTTATACAGGATGGTGCAATATTGGTCTTTCTACCAGGCTGGGACAATATCAGTACTTTGCATGATCTCTTGATGTCACAAGTGATGTTTAAATCAGGTATTGCATAAATATTTTATATAATACCAAGACTGACTATAGAATTTATGTAGTTTGTGGACTCCTCCCCCTTTCTAATTTGAAGAAGTTGTTACTTAATGTGGCTACATGGGTATAGGATTTTGTTCATCGAAGTCCAGCTCGCTTTTTTCCTTTAAGAAATTGAATGTTTTCTAAATGTTCTGAGCTATAAGTAAAGATGGGTTGTACATTGTGGAACCTCTTAGTTTTATGAAAGTATTATTTTAAATATTGGTATTCAGAGGCTTTCAATCTTTCCCCCCTCACATAGGAGGTTTTATTACTATACTAGTAAGGATGAAGTTAATGGCCTTTTATGAATGTGATTTTGATAGGTGACCTCCACCTTTGAGAATTTTAAGAATTTGTACAGGGACTGGAGATGAGGCTCAGTGGTTAAGAGTGCTTCCTGCTCTTCCTGAGAATCTGGGTTCAAGTCACACCACTCACTCCACATCAGGCGGCTGACAACTGCTTATAACTCCTCCAGTTCAGGGCATCCAGCTCAGCCTTCTGACCTTCACAGGCTCCCATACACAGAGCATATACACACAGAAAGACACACAGATATTAATAGAAAAAAATTGCTTTAATCTTGAAAATAATTGATAAGCAAATGCTTACCGATATTAAATAGATTAACAAAGCAAAATGTCAGTGGGTCATTAGAGCACTCAGAAAACAATTATAGTAAAACTTGGTTTTACTGTATGTAGAAGTATGAATTAAGAGCTATGATTCAGCAGCTGAATTTATTATTTCATACATGTGTCATATATGTTTTATGGGGCTTTAATTTAATTTACTTTTTAAATTTCAGATAAGTTTCTTATTATACCTTTACATTCACTGATGCCTACTGTAAACCAGACACAGGTATGTTCTTAAATTTGTTTTCTGTCTTTCAGATTGAGGCAAACCTTACAACTACTTACTATGTTTTTTTTTAATTAATTAAAATATATATTGTTGGGGGCTGGTGAGATGGCTCAGTGGTTAAGAGCACTGACTGTACTTCCAGAGGTCACGAGTTCAAATCCCAGCAACCACATGGTGGCTAACAACCATCTGCAATGATATCTGATGCCCTCTTGTGGGGTGTCTGAAGACAGCTACAGTGTACTTACATATAATAAATAAATAAAAATTTAAAAAAATATATATATATATTGTTTTCCGCTTTCCCTTTTCTCCCTCCAACACTACTACCTGTGTACCACCCTCTGCTCTTTCAAATTCATGTCCTCTATTTCTTTGATGTTGTTGTTAGTGGGATGTATATGTGTGTGCACACATGCATACATTCTTAAATATATAAATATTTCCTGATAAGTCAGTAAAATGTTGCTTTTATGTATGTAATTATCAGGGCTTGTCACTTGGTATTGGTTAGCCAACTGATATTCTTTGCCCAAAGAAAAACTATTTCTCCTCATCTCAGCATTCCTTAAGTGCCTGTAGTTCTCTTGTCTAGGGTTGAGGCCTTGAGAGCTTTAGCTTTTCATTGTTAGCGGGTCTAATAATGATGTCCTTGATCAGGGCTTCTGTAGGCAGCAGCCGTGTTGATGAGCCCGCAGTGGTGTTGCTTCTCTGGCATCTCTAGGAGATGAAAACTCACACCAAGCTTCCCATTCATTCCTTTGGCTCTTACAGTCTTTCTGCGCGTCTTCTGTTGTGATCTCTGAGCCCTCGGTGCAGGGGTTGTGTTGTAGTTATAAAAGTTGGGTTCCTAATAACCTGGTGTTGAAATTTTCATTAGTCTATAGCTCTGAGAGGATTGACATCCCACATGGTAACATTTCACTTAAACTATATCTAGTTTAAGTGAAATTTTTTTTTCCTCACAGGCTTATTTTATTATATATTATTTACCTTTAAAGAAACACTTTAAAATAGTGATCCATGTTAAAAAATACTTTATAAAGAGCCATTTCTTTGGAGAACAGTTTTATAAAAACTTAACCATGATAATTTACCACCAGGTTAGTTTTGTTAATGTTAGAAAAGTATAGAGAAATGATTTTATCAGTAACTTGTTTAGGTTTCCTGAATCAAAGAAAAAATATATAAATACCACTAAAAAACCCGAGCTAGAAATTAGTTGTGACGTAGTATATGTTGGTGTTTGAGATTTTGATTTATCACATTAGTATATTAACAGGATATTTCCAATTTTATCAGTAATTTATTAACAACTGTTATGACTATGTCAGATTCAGGGTTTTCTTAATGAGAATGATAATTATTGATACAACACTGTCTTCAGATCCTTTTCTTCCAGCTTTCTATTCTTTTTTTTTTTTAAATAAGAAAATAACTCTGGCTCCTTCAGTCTGTTTGGTAATACTTTGATGGGAAGTCAGCCTGTTGATTAGATAAAAGTGTCTCTGGTGTGGAGGTTCTTCCATCCTTGATATCCTAACCTAGTAGAGTGTGCATACATTATGAGAGAGTATGTGCCTGCTACTTACTGATGGCTCTACTTTATAAATCAAGGATGGATACATTCTTTTGGGTGCATGTATGTGTTACAGCCAGTTGTACTTGATTACTTTTCTTCAACTTTGGTGGCATTGTTAGGAGTAGTAGTATCTGTAGGGTTTGATATTTGAAGAGGCTATTTTACTCCAGTCTAATCTCAAGCTAGTCTACCATACTGTGGCACTTGGCATCCATTCTGAGGACAAGGTACCTCCCCATTGGTTCATAATTCTTTGTTTGGCTTTGTAAATCTTGTCTGCAGATTAAAGCTATTTTCCTTTAATTTATGCTCATCACCTTTTGTTAAAGATGTGCTCAAAGTTGGCTTTGTTTGCCTCTTGTTTGTGATATACTTCTGACATCTGGGTTTACCAAAGGAGGATTTCATTGAGTTGAAAATGTGTATGTTAATGATAAATTGATACACAAGACACATACTATTAAAAAGCATAAATGCTAAAAATGATCACAATATCTCAAGAAATAACATTGTAAAAGTATTTCAGAAATTAGTATACTTTTGATGTATTTATTCTTACAGGTATTTAAAAAAACTCCTCCCGGTGTTCGGAAAATAGTAATTGCTACCAACATTGCAGAGACTAGGTAAAAACTATTTTAAATATCAGCTATTGGTGATTATATAAGTGTAGAGATCCATACATTATTGACAAAGTTTAACCTTTATTCTCTGTAAAGTAACTTTGAAATCCCTTTTTAAAAAGCAGTTTTTAGCATTCATTAGTCAAGGATGGCAAATATAAACTGTAGTTTTCTAACGCCGTTCTACTGTGTTTAGTTCTCTTTTTCCAAAGTCATTGTTTAACAAGTTGTTTTTCATAACTTCTCTAAAGAATCATGGAAACTGGAATAGCTTTAGTCCTTTTGTCTGTTCTCCAGTTAGGGGTAGTATTATTATATAATTATATACAGCCTTAAACATTTCTAATGCTCTCCTAGAGATATTTATATTTATAGTTAAGTTGGTGAGACAACTTATTTTCCAGAAGCTGCTGTTAAAGCATAGTTCCTTTAGGGCTTCAGAGGTGGTCATAAAGTGGTGGGTGTGAGGAGATGCCTGTGGTCAGATAAGAATGTGGCCTAATGTGACCTAATCATTTTACTACCACTGGACATAGGAACACTGCCTGTTGTCAGGGGCTTGACTACTGTAAAATTGAAAAATGTGAAAAGAGTAGGCAAAGGCCTGAACTAATAAAATCTACTTGACCCAATAAAAATGTCTTTTAAATAAAATTTTAAAAATCCATCAATAGGCTTGGTATAATTTTATCTCTTGGTGTACTTTTTAACGTTTTGTGTATCTTTTTCAAACAGCATCACCATAGATGATGTGGTTTATGTAATAGATGGAGGGAAAATTAAAGAAACACACTTTGACACACAGAACAACATCAGTACCATGTCTGCTGAGTGGGTTAGTAAAGCTAATGCCAAACAGAGGAAAGGGAGAGCTGGAAGGTAAGTCGGATGTTGTACAAGGCCTTGAGAACATGCAAAAAAATATGTGAGCAAATTCAGAAGTATTATTATAAGAGGTATCTTGCATAATATATTGAACTCAACACTTCTACAGTATTTGATTTTTAATTGTCATATAAAATGTTTTGTAACATTTTTGTACATTGATGCAATTATACTTTCCCCTAATTTCATTCCTTTACTCAGGTAGTTCCTCTCTCTTTCATGTAACATGCACTGTATTCTCTTGTTCCCCATGCCTCCCTCCCCCATGTAGATTCCTTTGTTCCCACTCATCATCTCTTAACCTCTATTATGGCTGTCTTCTGCCTACCCATCTATTCATCATCTGTCTAACGCATCAAGTTTTCAGGTAGATTCTGCATGGGAGCAAACATTTGCTACTTATCTACTCATCTGTTGAGGGTTGGTTAGTCTGATTGTGTATCTTAGCTATTTTGATGAAAGCAGCACTCAATTGGCTATGCTGCTACCTCTGTGCTGACTTGGATGCCTTTGCATGTACACTTAGCGGAGCAGCACATTTGTCATGTAGTAGTTGTTTTTATTTATTTTATTTTATTTTATTTTATTTTATTTTATTTTATTTTATTTTATTTTATTTTATTT